AAAGATTGGTAATCCTTACTTTTAGGACCCCTTTCCTATATAAGGTTGAAATACTCACCAAAACAGCTGACTAAATGACACTCAAAAATGACATTCTGATATTTCTTGACACATTTGAACATTTGGCAATGACACCTGCTTGAATATCAGCAGGTTTGATATTGTAGAAAGAGGGCAGGGTTTTGATTTATGAGGGGTTAAAGACGACGATGACAAACAGAAAATATGTTTAAAAAAAGCAAGATGGCGAACTGGAAAAAAAGGTTGGAAAGTCACATTTTCTTTGAATGAAAGGGCTTTCAAAATTATAGCTAACATGAGCTTGTCTGAAGAAAAAAGACTTCTTCAGCCTGCAAAAGTCACTTTGGTACGGGACAGTCGTCTGCAAAAGACGTTTTGAACAGAACTCGTACAAAATAGAGGTGTCCTAAAAGTAAGGATGACCATAAGATCCGTATAGCCGACGGAAGTAAGGCCGGGTGGGTGACTGTTGCCAAGCTCGATAAGAAAGGCTCTGGCAACCTGTCTGCAGAGCAGCAAAAGAGCGTCAAGATCGCCGAGGAAGAGGCTTTGAAGGACCTCGAGAGCCGCAAGCGCAAGAGACGAGATGCCAAGTATCATGGGTCTGATACGCTACACACTGCTGACCGTCGCCTTTTCCAAGGCACATACATTTTACTTTGTTTTTTTCAACATGCATCATTGTGCATGTAAACCTGACATCCCATGCTATCTGAATAAAAAATAGTATTATCAAGAATTATCAAACAATTGCGTATATTGCCTTGAATTGCTGTGTTGGCGCATTAAACTAAACTGTTTTTCATGCGTATGAGCGTAGCGAAGTAGCATGAAAATGTAGTTTTGTTTGGCACAGAAAGACGGTGAACCAAATTCCTCTATTACGTAATCACGGTGAACAGGGTATTTAACCGTGCTCCCAGCCAACGCCCTTCACTTCAGGCTCATGCACAGATAATGAACGCTGCCTAGAGACCGTGCTGCTCTTACTTAGTCCTAAATTTTCCCGCCCTCCCCTCCTCCTTCGTCTAGTTTGTTTTCTGTCTGCGTATTTCTTTCTCCCCCCCCCCCATCTTCCTTTCAGGCTTGTCAAGCTATAACTGCTTTACCTGCGGTATGCGCAGACACTGGTCGAGGCAGTGTCCCTTCTAGTCTGGCCCCACCAATGCAGCTAATGACGGCTTCCACCAGCAAAGATCAAGGTTGAAATTCAACCCCTACTTCACCGGGAACGTCAACAGGAATATATTCCAGTCCAAGCCCCACAGTAATATCAGCCATTCCTGCCTTCAATCGCAGCAACAACAGCAGAGGTGTCTAAAGAATCACGAGGCACACCCTCCTCTTAATCTGAAACCTAGTGTCGATAAATTCACCGATATTTTAAAGGTACCTTGTGAAGTTCAAAATTCTAACTTGGAGTCTTATAGCATTCAAGTAAAGGGTAGATTAAGAACACATAGTGAATTCTGGTCCCGTATAAGTGCTCCAAATATGATTATGTCTGTTATACAGGAAGGTTTCAGAATAGCGTTTTTAGTACATCCCCATGCAATGTTTTTCCCTAACAATGTATCAGCCTTTCGATACTCTTTGTTTGTTACCGATTCTATTCTAGAACTGTTGGATTCCAATAGAATCAAGGAGGTCAATTCTCCCTCCTACGTCACTAGCCCCCTTTCTGTGGTCTGTCGGGCCACTGGCAAACAACGACTTATCTTGGACTTGATTCAATTGAATTTATATGTTAAAAAAGACCATTTCAAAATAGATGACTGGAAGATTGCAATTCAGTATTTTCAATCAAATGCTTTGTTGTTCTCATTTGACGTAAAATCTGGCTATCACCACATAGAAATTGATCCACAGTACCACAAGTTTTTGGGCTTTTCTTGGCCTATTGAGGGTGAACAAAGGTATTTTCAGTTCACTGTCTTACCATTTGGCCTGTCTTCGGCCCCTTGGATATTCACTAAAGTCCTAAAACCACTGGTCACTCATTGGCGCTCTTGTGGCATCCTAATCGCCCTGTACTTGGACGATGGGTTTGTGGTGGTACCCCAATCTAACCTTAGTCACGACGCACCCGTTCAATTAGCCACTGAGGTTTTGGCTCATGTTAAATCAGATTTACTGAACGCAGGTTTCATTTACAACATCAGCAAAAGCATTTGGTGTCCTGTCACCTCCATCGTTTGGTTGGGCATGACATGGGATTCGCGGTCGGGTACCCTCAAAGTTCTAGATCGTAGAATAAACAAGATTCTTGCTTCCATTCTTTCACTGCGTCAATCTCCCAGTTGTAGAGTTAGGGATCTCCATTCCTTCGTTGGACAAATAATATCCCTTTCGCCTGATGTTGTAGGCAATGTGACCAGGCTGATGACGCAAAACTGTCAGTCTCTGATTGCGCTACATAAAGACGAAAATACAATAGTCTCTCCCAATGCGCAATGTCTGAAGGAAATACAATTTTGGCAAGAAAACGCTAGTCGCTTGAATAACAGAAATGTTTTTGTATCCCCTAAGGTCAACAAGATAATATGTTCAGATGCTAGTTCCGTGGGTTCGGGTGCTATCTTATGCAATGATAACTACGTGGCACACAAAAACTTGATCTTTGAAGATATGACACAGAGTTCGACTTGGCGGGAACTTGAAACCATTCTGTTTGCCCTTCACTCCTTTGTGCCGTTCATTTCAAATTCAAGAGCAAAACTGTTTACAGACAATCAGGCAGCTGCCAAGATTATTGAAACAGGGAGTATGAAATGTCACCTCCAAGATTTGGCTTACAACATTTTTGATTTTTGTCTGAAAAATAGAATCCGGCTAGAAGTTGACTGGATCCCTCGTTCCTCAACGTTCAAGCCGACTACATCAGCAAATTGATAGATGTAGATGACTGGGGCCTATCGGCAGAGTTCTTCGAAGCAATCAATGCCAAGTGGGGTCCGTTCACAATAGACTGCTTTGCCACTTATTACAATGCAAAATTGCCTCGTTTCTTTTCCAGATTTTGGAACCCTGGTACACAAGCCGTTGATGCTTTTGCCCAAGATTGGTCGGCAGAGAATGTTCTCTTAGTTCCACTAGTCTCTAGTTCTCTTAGTCTCTTTGATTCCGTCTGTACTATCTCATTTGCAATCTTGTCATGGAACAGGGGTGCTTGTATTCCCATGGTGGCCCTCTAGCCCTCTGTCCTTTGCATTGGACAATATATAGACCCAATAATTTCGACATTTTCACTATGCCCGGGCAAATGGCCCAAGTTCACGAAAGAAATACCAATTCCCTGCTAGGTTCTCCCAGAGTTCAAAAGCATGATGGCTGCAGTAAAGATAGATTTTTCTTAAGGCTTTGAAGCTAATTTATTTTCTATTTATTTTCACTCACACTGTTTTGTATATATATATTTTTTTGTACAGATCATTCTGGAGCAACCATTTTGGGTAGACTCTCCGCCCGTAGTGTCAGGGTCCAAGGAGCAGTTGTTGCATGAAGCTATCGCAGCAAAATCGGGTCTTGCAATTCTTACTTTTACAAAGTGCCGTCAATTCATTAAATGGTTGGTTCAATGCAAAATCCCCATGTCTTTCCCTGTAACCGAGGGAATTGTGGCAGCTTATTTATCCCATACCAATTCAACATCACGATCTGATGGTTTAATGACGACAACTGCTTCTGCCATTGAATGGCTCCATTCCTTAATGAACATCAAGAACAATCCTATAGATTCACCTATTGTTCAGCAACTCCTGATCAGTTTTAGGAAACGTCTACATCACCCTCCGGTCCAGAAAGATCCGTTGTCCCTACACTGTAAACCATGTGTTTAGGTTTAGAACACCTAAATAAACACTAATCTGTGACAGTTTTTAAACATGCGACGCAGTTTATCCAATGAACATGTTTAATTTGAAAACATATTTGGTGTTTAAAATCAGCACACTGACGGTGTTTAATCTTTAAACGGAACAGTGTTTAAAATATATACATCAAAGGCGTTTAACATTTAAATACTACCGATGTTTAAAAAGTAAACACATAGTCAAAAAGAAAACACGTCAAACTGTTATTATTTTAAACATGTGACACGTTTATTGCCTGTGACAGATTTTAAACATGTGACGCCATTTATTATTATTTTCAAGTGTTTATATTCACAGTGCGTGTTTATTTTTCGAACGGTTTTCAAAATCGCAAGTAAAACTTCAGTCACAATATCAACAACATTGAAATAAACGCACTTAGGGCAGTTCACAAAGCTGTCTTCGTTTTCACCTATAGATTGTGGTTAAAGGCCTATTCAGTTCTATCGAATCATGATAATGATAACAACATATTCAGATAATAACCAAAATGGACACAATAAAATACAAATGTATTTTTATGGTCACCCCTAGAGAATATTTTACATCACGACCGCAAAACTAGGCATACTACCATGCCTATCAGTATGTTTTCAACAATCTTTTTTTAAGACCCCAACATTTTAAGGCCAATTACAACTTTTACAAGTACCAAAACAAAGAAACAAAACGTAAACAAACACAATAGGGTGAATTTGAAGTAAATGAATATATCTGTAAAAAGGGCTAAAAACAATTATTTTCCAATTCAATGCGATTTAGAAGTAAAACTGCAAATGAATTATACTTGTTTATCAAAACCTATGAAGGCCTTTTTGGGACTCACGTAAATATTAACCTTTGTTATCCAAGATAATGTGCACAAAGACTGTAAAGTTACAATTTCAGCTTGATCATGGATAAAAAAAAATTAAAAAATTTGAAGAAAACAGGCAAGCTTTTCACAGTTTCGTACATAACTTTGCAGTCATGTAGGTATTTACGGAGACTTTGTATTTAAAATTGTATTTTAAACCAAACTTGACTTTAGGTCACCTAGAATGTTATACTTTTTCATTTCAGGATGTTTTACCACCAGAGTAAATTTACAGTGGAAGTTGAAAGGTTCTTATACAAGATAGGATCTCAGTCAAACATCATCATTCAATGAAATTGAAGATTTGAATAATATATTTTACAATACAAAAATACCTCATGAATAGTTAGCACTCTCCTCGTCTTCGTACCCTCGCCACATTCAAACTTGGTGTTCTGCTGGACGTACATGCATGCAGTTACATCGAGCATCTGCAGAGGACCCTATATTCAAAACATAACACATGTTCTGTAAAACGAAAGTTTTTGAATCACGCACTGCGGGTTTTTCAAAAGTTTTATACACAGCTGATCTGTACAATCACACACTGCCAAAGCCAAATGACGATCAACGCCAAAAGACACTTAGCCTACCTTATTTTAAAAGTCAATAGCTTCCTTCAACTGCATGCAAGGGATTAGACACACCCTGAAAATTTACAGACAGAAATATTAAAACAATACACGCCCATATCATCATGTGAAATGAAAATAATGATTAAAAAATCCACTTCACTGAATTTTCTAAGATTACAAACATTTTGACACGGCGTGTTTGCAAATGCAATTCGCACCATAGGTTAGGCCTATAGCCTCATATAAATGTAGCGGTACTTCATTAAGGAGGTCCGCTCAAATGATTAGATTTAAGGACGCCAAGAACAACCCAAGACAAAAAGACAAAATCAAAACACCAGGAGGAGTCACATTATGTTTGGTCTCATGAACTTGTTACAGATTACTTGTTTACAAAATGAATTACGATAGTTCTGGATCTGAATCTCAATCTAACTCACAAAACAAGAGTTACAAAAAGCAGACTTGGATTCAACTTCCAGCTCTATAAATTGTAATAACGTTGCCAATGATAAATTATATTCACAAAGTTTGTATTTCTAAAGTTGCCCCGGTTCCTAAGTTTTCCAGGTTCCTAATATTCTTCTTGGTTATAATATTTTAATCAGGTTCCAAGTTCACCGGTTCCTAACATTTTAATAAGGTTCCTAGTTCACAGGTTCCTAATATTTTAATGTTTTAATCAAGTTCTCCGAAGTTCCCCGAACGCCTGGCAAGTGTACGGCTGTGTTGTGAACTAGGCCTCCATATTGCACCTGACATGAAACAGTCGTATTGCAATAAATCAACATGTGACACACGGTGAGTAAAACTCATTGATATAACGAAGACTAATTCACCCCAAAATCACTCCTTTCATCAACATGAAAGAAACTAAAACCTAGCCCAGCGGAAGCGGAAAACTTGTATTGTGAAATTAGAATGTAAAGAAAATACAAATTTCGCTCATTTGAAACTAATATGTTGGTTTTCAAGCACAAATCTATGCACACGATACTCACACTTTGGTGTACATGCAGAAAAGGGCTGATATTCGCGCATTCACGGCATGCACTGAGTGCGCGTTTGTATACATTTTTCTGGGCTGTGTGCCGATTGTATGGTGCCTCGTAAAAGACGTCTCACTACATTAAGTATGCACTCAACATAGACCATCCCCATAATGTAGTGGCTCAAATACAGAACTTCCTTCATAATATTGTGAGCTGCACAGCAGTTATACTTAATAACACCATCGTCATCCAAGAAAAGGAATAGGCTATGAGGAAATCGAAATCAGCATTACGAATTTCTCCCATTTAAAATTCTCTCAAAATTCCACATCCTTTTCAAAGAGAAGATTAATGGGAACATGTCTCCTATGGGGATAAGTATCAGTCTAATCACTCAACGCCTCTTAAAACTTGCCAATTGTGATATGTCCACAGTCAACCTAGGTCACCAACAGGTGGTCTGGGGGCATGGTAATGCCCAACTGACCATGCACTAACTCTGGGTCAGCTAAGTTCAAGCTACACAGATTAGCACTCCTCTGAGAGTTTCCACACCAACTGGAGGGCAAATTATTATAAGTGGCCCACACTGTACACAAGGTAGTATGCGCAGATACAGATACAATGTAGGATTTGTGCATACACAAATTGTTCGTAGTATTTGATGCAGGTTTCCCTTCATTGTATACATACATACAGTACTCAATCTAGATTCAGAATATGAACTCAAAAAATTTGCTGGAAACGTTTTAACTTCAGGGTTTTTTAACACATTGAAATGAATGCTAAAAGTAAAAAAAAAAAAAAAAAAGGCCTATTTTATACAAGTTCAATCATTTACAATTTAATACTGCAGAGTCATCATCAAAATTAAACACTTAGAAGTTGGCTCAATCGTAGGCAGGTCCGAAGGGGAGGGGGTATCCTCCAAGGGGTAAACGTATGCCCCTTTGTTTCCCAAAATTTAACAATCTTCATTGATCCATTTTGATGACAGGTACAGCATTCTTCGAAATAGACATCAAGGTATATTTGACTCCATAAAAAAACAACAAATAATGATGTACAACTGATTAAAGTGCTAAAACATTAACATTTATAAACAAATATTTTGTTCCCATTCAACTGATCGAATGTTTAATGAAGTTTTTGTATTTGCAAAGAATAAACTGTTGGCGCACTATGATATAAAATCATAGATGTGGCACATTTAATTATGCAAGTACTACATACACAAAGCAGTTTTGCTAACATGCACAACCGTACCGAAGAAGTGCTGTAAGGCAATACTACAAATCAAAACTTGCACAATAACTTAAACTTAGGTATTTACAATAGGGACCCAGGTCACTGATGATGGTTTAAAAAAATGTAGCTTCACGTGTTGTTCAGTTTATTTTCAAAAAAAGCAAACCCTTACAACAGTTTGTGGAGGTCTTAAACAGTAGAGTAAAATAAAATAAAGGAACCCAAAACATGGAGAACCACAACACGTATGCAAATAAAATGGACAATGATGAATTAGTGGAAACCAACTGTACAAAGATGCTTTTCTATTTTTTCTTTATGTGAAATTTCAAAGAGTATGTTGTTTTAAACTTAATCGAACAAATTAACTTGTTTACATTTGTAATTTCTTAAACCACATATTAAGTCTAGTTGTGCTTTAATTGGAGCTGGAGTTCATGTGCATTGAGCCATGTTAATATCCAAAATGAATTCTATGTTTTTACAAAAAAAACAACTCAGCAAATTGTTCAAAATTGAATGTTGCAGCATGGAAAAGGATTATTAGTTGCACATAAAGAAGGAAGAGACACAAGGAAGAGACACAAGAGCATAATTAAAAAGAATTATTGTAACATAAATAATACATGTACACGCATGACACGCTTGAAATCTTTTAACCCTAAAAGGGCCGGGGGCGGAATCCGCCCCCCCCCCCTCAACATTTTCCGCGATAGCCTCAACAAATTTGTTTTCGCAACCCGAGCTGTTATGACTTTTTAGCCTCGAGCTTTACGTATCTTTTGATACCAAAAACATAAAAAATCAGACCACGGATTGCCGCGTAGCGAAAAACTTTCCGGCGCTAGGCGCCGTGAAAACTTAATTTTCCCATATAGTTTATTACGTCATGTACACAGAGCACAATTTCCATTCGTACATAAGAATAATTAATTAGCCATAATTCCAAAACTTAGCAACCTATAGTCATGAAATTTCTTGGGTATGTTTAGGAAGAGTTTCTCTATGCATGTACTGAGTTTCAAAACATGTTGTCACTCGATGGCTGAGATCTTTGGGGGGGGGGGGGGATTCCGCCCCCGGCTGAGATATGGTCAAAATAACCCGGCCCTTTTATGGGTTAAATCTACAGCAACTTAGGCTATATGACGCTATGATGACTTAGTGTCTGAGCTACATGGGGAAAAGACAATCACCAGATTCTCTGTATATAATGAAAATTATATACAAAATATAATGTTCAGAAAATTAATTGTAAAGATACTCTAAAACAAAGTACATCAATTCAAGAAAAATAAATTGATTCATTAAAACTTCCAAGCCCAAGCAATATAAATCACTGACTTAAGAGTCTTGCATTTGTGAAATACTTCGCTAGAATGAGTACAATCAACGGTACGATTCATAAGGGCCTTTTCTGTAGAACAAGAAGTCTGTATAAACAATTTACATTTGCACTACCCAAAGCAACAAAATCATAATTATTGCATTTTAAATATCCTGCGAAATTTCAAACGGAAAATCTCTTTGGATAAGTACATGTATAAGGCACATGTTAATTCCATGACAGCTAGCCCTGAAACTCAGAAAGTAATACCATCTGTAGACTGTTGATTAATCGGTGTTATAAAAAAAAATACTTGGTTGGAACTGACCTATATGATTTTTGTTTAAAGATGCATTCCGATCTCTGTCCTTTTCAAAAGATCAGGCTTTATGACGTATAATTCCAAATGTTAATTACAATGAAACTATTCGTTGTTCAGAATTTTAAATTAAAGAGTTTTGTATAAATGAGCAACAGCAGAGTTGTAATCGTCCACTGTAGTTGTTTGCTTTTTCTGTTCGATGCTCAGCCACTTCTTCGCTTTCCACATTTCCAGATATTTGTGTTCTTCAATATTAGACAGCCCTAAATACTCTTTGCAGAAATAACTTTGCTTGTTCAGGGAATGAAACCTTGTGAGTACTTAAATGATGTTTTCTTTTTGAATTTGCGTAAAATAAAATACTTTTTTACATTAAAATTGTAAGCCTTACAATCTTAATGTTGAAAAAAAATATTTTATTTTACGCAAATTTAAAACAGTCTGAGACTGTTTTAATTTACATGTACTTTTCTTTGTTTTTTTTTAATGAGACTTATCATACGTGTTTTCTTACAGATATGTTTGTCACGGGGTGTTGGTTGCTGATTAATTTTTCCTTAGTACTTTGTTAGGTCCGGCATGCAATCGTTTGCTTTCAATAATGCATCAAGGATGAATTTGTTTTCTGCAACCGAATATCTTACAATATTTGGAAATTTCTTGGAATTGATTTTTGCTTGCTCATTGACAAGGACATGCATGGTACATTTTTGTTGACTGTCCCTTAGTGTTGCCTTAAAAATCTGTATACCATGTAACAATCACTCAATTAATCATTACTGTTACAGAGTCAACTTGCCATTAGTTTACTGTCTCTTGATTCATTACAAAAATTGGTCTGAGTAATCTTTACCTAGCAATGAAATGTTATCAAGGCTTACTGCAGCTCCGTCTTGCAGGAAAATAAGCTGTTTGAAGGGATCCACTGTTTGAATATTGCCATTCCTCAAAACATCCTGCCATCAACTGTTTCAACCAGATCGTTTTGCTGGCACTCTCTCAAAAACTGCAAGTGTTTCCTCTTAGTCTTACACTGTCTTCTTTTGGTGGAGGCTTGCCTGCAGCTTTCTGTAATGATGATAATTATTGACATCAGGATAACATTCACCCAAAAGCAAAATATTCAAACGTAAAGCTGTATGTTCACCGAATAGTAGGGGTGTATGGTTTTTTTGTATTTATTGGGGAATATTGGTGTACATGTATTCATGCACTGAGATGTTTGGTTAACCTTGTTCTGCCAGAAAGGTCTAGATACAAACATAAAATGTCATATTATTGTTAACCTTGCTTCAAAATGGCATTTTGTGATATTCATGTACATGATCATAATTGACCAATACGGGACAACTTCCAATATTTTTCTATTAGGTTTATTGGGGTTTCATAGCCTATATGTTGTTCTGATAAAGAAAATACATGTAAGAATTCTGTATCACAACAAATTTCACAGGGAAATATTTATCCATTATGCAAAATGTTGCTTAGGCCTACTAGTAAATAAATAAAATGATGCCATTGTACTGATCCTAACAAATTGGTTTTTTCTTTTGGTACGGTACATATAAGATCGTTCATCGTGAACTCTGCGACAGATGTTAATTGTTGGTATTCACGAATTTCAAGTATCCTTTTGTTGATTAGATATTTATTTTCCAATCAAGTTGATTGAGTATATGAGAAGGGGTGAAATATCCACTCATTTTCAGTTTGTTGATATGCCTACAACTAATTAATGTATGGGATGTTATTTTTTCAACATGTTACTTACGTCTCTGTTGCTCTTCATAGTGAAGTATTGGATGTCTAATCGAATCTTCATCCACCCAGATATCATCTCCAGGATATATCCCGTAAAACTCACAAGATGACCCCTATCATTATCATCTCTGACTATGTACCTTAGCAGCACACCATCTTTCTAACTCATCAATCGCCTGAACCCGACTTCCAACAGAGAATTTTCCTGCCCATTTTGTCTTCAAGGTTTTGTAGTCAATTTTTATAATCCTACACATAAAAGCTGGTGGTTTGCTGTAGTGACAACTACCATTAGTGGATGAAACAAATCAGTCAATTACTCGTTACCCACGTGGCATAATGATGTACCTATAGAGGTCAATAGGCCATATGTGACCCGCTCTGCAAAAATGAGTCTGATGTCGCATAGCTTGAATTCCAGCATTCACCACTTTTAAATGGAAACAGTGAAAATTTGCTCAAAATTTGGATTTTTTTGTTTTGTTTTATTTTGGTTGTTTGATAGTTTTAGTTCAGATATCTTACACAGAAATTTAAATATTGTAAGAAAACGACTAACAAATTTATGATATTTGGTGTTTTTCTTGGTTAGTTACATTGTATTTGTAATTTTTAAACCCTTTTTTCTTCATTGAGACATTTCTTGCTTTGCAAAAACTTGACAGAATTAAAAAAGGCACAACAGTGCAACCAAACGCCCTAGAGAGGCCCATGATATACCAAATGAAAGCTTATTTCATTCCCATTTTATCAATGTAGTTAACTCAAAATGTCAGTTTTGCCACAACAGACTCATTTTTGTGGAGTGGGTCACATATATTCTTGGGCTGACCGCCACCAGGGGGTATTAAATTTATGTCCATTGGGGGGAGCTGTCACTTAGAAATGGATGTTTTCTTTCCGAGTTAGAAAGTTCTAACTCGGATTCGTTTAAATGGGAGAAATTCGTAATGGGTTCTTTTTCCCCCTTCATATTCAAGTTTTATCACACGATCCTTTGGCCAATACCCTCTATTTTTAATCTATCATCCTGTATATCGGGATTAATTAAATCAAACAACACAACAGATAAAACTTACCACCTGTGTGAAAGCTTCCAGAACTGGTTCAAACTACAACTGTCGGACTGCATGCACAGAATACGTTGCATCTGAGTACTCTTGCTGACTTGGCAATATGCATACCAAACTTGACCTCTAGCCTAGGTCATGACCAACTGTTAGTACCTTCTGTGAGGCTACATCATACATGTATATTGTTTCATTACCCGGTGCAAATTTTGTTACCACGAATGACGATACTAATTCTCGCCATTACATTATTCTATTAGTGTGCCCAGATTATTGTCAGAAAAATGGCGGTTGTCTTTGTGCCGCGTAATTAACTGGCCCGATTATGCCGCGCTAGCACGCAATCAGATTTGATCCTATTGGTTAAGACCTAACATCACGTGGTCATATTTAAACATCGTGACGTGTACCGTGTTTATTAGGTGTTGAACACAAACAGCTAAATTAATAACCTAATATTATTAGTGACCTAATTAGTTAATGAAGTGAAGCGACGCGTGTGCGTCGGTTCGGCTTTTACGTGAGCAGTCAGCCCACGTGGTTTGAGGTTTGATGCCTCGGTAAGGAAGACTGTACAAAATGTTGATGTTCACTGAGCTTTTATTCCAGTTCCAGTAAATAATCCCAGCAAGATAATCCTGGCGAATTAGTTCCAGCAAATTAATCCCAGCAAATTAAAAACCTAAATGAAAATGATAGTGTTTACAATTGTAAATACATGTGATTACAATAAACACAATGTTTTGAATTCACTTGACAATAAACTTATTATATCAACATGAATGTGAATACAGTTGCATGTAGTGTCACTGTCCGATATGGCACGGAGCTATAAAACTTACCCAGCACCTCGTCTATGTGCAGTTATACAAATGTAAATCTCAGGTGCGGGAGGCTACAGAGCTTCTGTAATACAATGTTAACATTATACAATATAAATGACATATAAGGGGATGATATGATACCATGATACCATGGATAAACCTTCAGTCATAGAGACGGACAGCTAGACCTGCTCCCGCGCGGGAGCCACTGCTGAAAATTTGTGCTCTTTTGTTACACTCGTGGGAATCTTTAGATACATATTGTCTGCTGGAATCAGTCAATATGGACTGTATATAGTCTCTTTACACTTGTGCATAAAGCAGTAAATTAAAAAATGGTTTGGTATGGCATAAGGCAATGAACAGATATGGATATATAAGCATCGATGCGGCAAATTAAAAAAGTTTGAATTGGGTATACCGCACAGATTGGACTTTTATGCCAAAAATAAGCGGTTTCTTTTTTAGCGACCGTCACCCAACTGATCAAATCATACAAAATTAAATTTACAAAATATAAGAATTCAACGAGTTTATGCCAACACAAATAATTATACCGTAGTCTGCTGCCAAATATAAGCGACATGTGGGTCTAGTAACATTATCCTAATTTCATTTCTAAGATTGTAGATTGTTTTGAATGGAACTCCTAATTTGTCAAACAAAGGGTAATTTTTTAATAAATTTGCTACAAGACGTATTTTGTTGGCATAAGCTCTGTGAATGCCTACATTTTGTTTAAGCCACTCTTTCCAAGATGTTATTGGTTTTTCTCGACTATGAAGGCAATGAACAGCATCAAGCAACTTTCCATACTCGATGTAAATACCGATTATAGAAGCCTGACGCTGACCAATACCCTCATAGCCAGAAACTAGATGCGGAACAGATTCCCCTAAGGTTTTTATAGTGTCTAAGTTTCTATACAAAGGGAAACTGTTCGATTGAGAAGAGTGCTGTACCGTACTCAGCAGATGCCTGTGTAGGTCATCGCCGGTTAGCTTAGATTTTGCTTTACATGTAGTTTGACCCAAAAGAGACTTTATATTTCCTCTCGGTTTTATCGGTATGATTTGATCAGTTGGGCCATTTAGTTTCAAATCACCAAGAAATGTCAGCATTTCTTGGTGATATTTTACATGTGACTCTATAATTTGTAAGTCCTCTCGACTCCAGTTATAACAATCTTCCATTGGTACATCATTATTTTCCATGGTCGCTAAAAAAAGAAAACGCTTACCTTGTAGAATTGGTGTAAGAAGCTAAAACCCAAAAACACGTCTGTTCTGACAGCGGTCGGTTCATATAGTGAAGCGAAAAAATGGGCGGCGTCTGATATGAACTAGTTTTTGGAAACAACAACAAAAGCGTGACAGATTGAAATTTTGCAGTCCTGCATGGTAGGCAGTTTATTGACTTTGCTCTTGGAAACAACAATAGCGTGACTGATTGAAAGTCACTGCATGGTAGGTGGTTTATTGACTTTGCTCTTGGAACCAACAATAGCGGGACTGATTGAAACCTGACCCCAAACATGTTTTGAAAGCAACAAAGCGTGACAAATTGAATTTTTTTTTGCGGGCTGCACTTTGCTCTGTGTCATGTATGGAGCGCTGATGGTATGGAAAGTATAAAATGAGCAGAAAGGTATGGAGCGCCAATCATAAATTAAAAAAAAACCTTTATTTAAAACAATTAATCATTTATAATAAATGAATCTTTTTCAGAGTAAAAACGTCGAGCTATCTGATAAAACAGATCAGTGCGATCACCATATAATCATCGAGAATGGTTTTTTAGTTTGTGAAACGTGCGGTGAAATAGTCTCGCGTTACTTTGATTTTTCGGCAGAAAATGCGCAAGAAGATCGTATCAATTGGTCAATTTTAAAAAGGAACAAAAGAAAAACTGTGGAGAAACTTATTTTGTCGGTGTGTCCAGAGCAAGACTTAGAAGATGTCCAAGAAACAATCAATAAATATAACGAGCTCGTTAATTACAAAACATTGAGGGGAAACGGATGCGTCAAACGCTCGTTAATAGCCGCGAGTTTTCATAACGTCGTTGGATTAGACAAAGAACGAGTTAGAGATTTATTTAAAGTGACTCAAAATCAATTTAATAAAGCACTAAAAAAATACGATGACCACTACAATAAAGGCGGGGCCGAGGGTAACACCCTAAGAGGTGAAATAGAGGTATAACTCGGTGGATCGCTTTCATAATGTTTATTTACCGAGAATTTGAACTTGTAAGTTTTTCGATAAGAGATTTTTTTTCTTTTGCCAGCCGTTCGTCTACCCGTTTTTTAACTTCTTTTTCAAAGTCTGTATCGTTTTTAATTTTTTGAAGCTTTGTGCTGGTCTTTGTTCTGATTTTTTGTTTAAGCTCGTTAAATTTTGCGAGCTCTCTCGTAATCAATAAGAACTCTTCGTGCGATATATCTCCGTCGTTGATGGCTTGAGACACGTATTCTTCAATCGTGTTAAGTTTGGAGTCTGCTAATATCTTAATCTGGTCGTGCTTTTTTAGCTTGGCGGATAATCGCTTAGACGCGATTCTAAGCAGAATATCTACACCAAAAGCGCCTATAAACGTTCCTTCTAGCACCAATCCAACGGGGGCTGATATAACACACAATAGAGTGGGAATACTGACAGCCCCCGCTATAGCCCCCAATCCTTCTAATCCTATCTCTACGTAATAAATAGTGTCGATCATTCTCTTAATTTTTTTATAAGTGCGCTCTCGGTGGTCTCTCTCTTTCAAGATTAAAGATCGAATCTCTTCAATCTTTTTCAGTCTGTACACTTTTGTTTCTTCGTTACTATTTAATCGGAGTACATCTCCAGAAATTGTTTCTTCGTTACTATTTAATCGGAGTACATCTCCAGAAATATCAGGGTATAAAGCCTTACCATCTACACTCATGTTTTTAATATAAAAAGATTTTAAAATTAAAAGATCTCCAACTCGATAATGATACCCTCACCCTTATTGTTGAATACCTGTCCTTTTTCACCGCTGATAGAAAATGTCAGTTTGTCGATTATACCGTTTTTAAGATTTTTGAATTCCTCGGCTCTATCAATATCGGGTTTGCGCGTAGCCACGGGTACGATTTTTAAGATGTCAGAAGGACGACCATTAAAAAAGTTTTCACTTGTACTTAATTGCGGGCAGCGAATAAACAAAAATTTAAACGGATTAACGTCGTAAGACCCCGTATACACCACTTTGGGTACCAGTCTTCCTTTGGGTAAATTGAGTAATCGAGATACTTCTCTGTTCAAGCGCAATTTGAGATTTACGTCGGTTATCACCAACGTCACCTTTTTAGATTCTCTAAATATTCGAAAACTTACCCCGGGTATAGAATTTAAAATGAAATCGAACCAATCGACGTCGTACCACCCCGGTGCTATGATGACCGAACCGATACTTCCGAGTGGTAACGGCGCTAAATGACTCGGAGGAATAAAATCTAAATCATCACCCGTCACGATAAGACTTCCTCTAATAATCACCCCTGCTTCTCTACTATCTCTCAACTCGCTCAACTCGCTCGCATCCATTTCTCCTTCAATAAACTTTAAAGCCAATTCCTCACCTTCAAAGATTTTTCTTTCTCTAACGAATAATATTCTTACTAAAGATTGAAGCGTATTAAGTTCTAATTCAGTTTTTGGTATTTCTGAATTCATGGCGGCTAAAATCAACCCTCGCCGTTCAGCTATAATAGCTCTTTTTCTTTTGTTTGATTCTAAAACGGATTCTAGTCTATCGTCTTTGTACGCTTTTATAAGATCGTTTATAGTTTTTTGTAAAACATTTTCATCGTTAAATAAATAGTGGTATGGTATATCGGGTAACAATCGCTCTATAAAATCTCTATCCGGCGTTCTTATGTGTACATCTGAAAGAAACTCCGCGGGTATGAGGGGAGGTTTATCTGTGGTAAACGCGGGTCTCCCATCTATTTGCGTAAACCAATCAATCTCTGTGGCGCTGGAAATATTAAAATATCCGGGGTTAAACATTACCCTTTTTACGCGAACAGATTTTTGACCGTTTAAATTATCTACGACGTCTTCTAATTTAAACGTCTGCTCATTTTGAAACAAGTGAAACGAATGCATTTATTTTAAAGTCTTTTTATATTAAAACTGAAACTAAAATAATGAGTGATTTTAAGTCGTTAAAAAAGCAGATACAATCGATAGCCGATCAGGTAACGAAACAAGTAAATCAAAATGTAGCCAAGGCAACCGAGCTAAAGCATCAAGTTGCATCCCAAACAAAGTTTTTAAACAGCACTAAACCCAGTGAACTGGAAGTTATAGTTAATAATACCAACGGGTTTTTAACCTTGTTCCCCGACTTAACCTCAGACTATAAATTGCCTCGCATCACAACGGATGAGGATGTAGATCGTTGGAAATCACACCCCATGTCGTTTTATCAAAATCAGTTAAATTTTGCGATCTACTGCGCTACTACGGGCTGCGGTGTTGGATTCGATCTTTTAAACGCGAGCAACCGTTACGTTTGGGCCATCTTTAACTTTCATTTATATTTTACGGTTAGAAAGATCCTGTACGACTTTGCCGCTCCTTTACCGGGAGATGACGCATTTAAAGCTCTAGACAACAGTTATAATCTCAGAGCTTTTACCGATACCTGTTTGTTGTTTGGCATAGATCAAAACAAGTCTTTTAAACAGACGAGAGACACAAACTCTAACGGTTTAGGTATAGCTTATTACTGGGACACGTCTTACGTACCCGTACCCGTACCCGGAAACGATTATGATACAACCGACCTTAATCTCGAGTATAGTCAGTATCGTAAAAATATGATGGGTGGAACTAAAATGGGGTTTGGTTTGGAAGATCCACCCAAGGGTTCGGGGCGTTACAGCGATTACACCGTAGCCTTTATCGAACAAAATGAATCGGTACAAAATGCTTGGTTAGATTTTATACCCGACACGAGTTCGTTTACCCCCGCGGGAATCATAAAGATCAACGAATCGATCAGATCTTACGTGTACGCTTTACTCGGTGCGCAGGCTCAAACAAA